CCAGGGAAGCTCCATCCCTGCCCTGAGGAGACGACGAAGGCATCGCCATCTCCTCGCTGGGGCTGCGGGGACCGCAGCCACCGGCACTCACCCATTCACCTCCACATGCTCGCGTCCCTCTGGGCACAGGCACTGGTTGGCAGTCGCAGGAGCTGTGCCGCAAGTAATGGCCTGCAAAGGCCCCATCCTCCTCCCAGGCAGCATCCCTGCGGGAGCGGGGGAGCGCTCACCCTGGGGCCGTGGGGGACACCCCGGCGGCACCCGCGCAGGCAGGAGGGCTCAGCTGGAGCATCGCGGAGGGGGAGGCGGCAGCGGGAGGGAGGGCACTGACCTGTCAGGGATCCGGATGCCCAGGCGAAACATCTCTTCCAGGAATTGCTCCCTGTTGCGGCACAGCGGGCAGCAAAAGTAGTGAATGCCGGAGCGCAGCGCCTGTCCCTGGGGCAGAGGTGGCATCAGCATCAGCGCCGGGGGTCCGGTTCACCGCCCTGGAGCTGGGCGACGCGACAACAGGGTGACAGCAGGGGGGACCGCTCCAGGGGCCGGGGGCGATGCCACCTACCTGGATGCAGCCGCGGTGGAACCAGGCGCTGGCGCAGGCGGGACACACCAGGGTGTCGTAGCAGGGCCGCTCCGCCACCCCCTCCTGGCAGATGAGGCAGAGGGTCTGGTCCTGCTGCACCGCCCGCACCCGCTGCACCGGCCGGTGCTTCCAGCAAAAAGACCTGCAGGATGGAGGGGACAGCTTGGCCCCGGGCCCGGGACCCGGCCCCGGCCCCGGCACCGACCCCGGCCCCGGCCCCAACCCCGGCCCCGGCCCCGGCACCAGCCCCGGCCCCGACCCCGCGGGGCAGCCATACTCACTTGAACTGCCCGAAGAACTGGGAGACGCAGCCCCGCTTGCTGCCGCAGGGGAAGTGGAAGATGCGGCAGCAGCGCCGGCCCCGGCAGCGCCGGGCCCGGCAGGTGACCGAGGCGCCCGGCAGCTGGCAGATGTGGCACCTCTGGGGACGGCAGGAAGGACAACGGTGTCAGAGCCACAGGCCCCAGGGAGCCCCGCCGCGTTCTGTGGGGCCGCCCGGCTGGTGACACCGGGCCCCGATAGATAAGGATGCCCCCCGTACCCTCCAGATCCCCCCCTGCCGCAGGAACGGGCCTTTTTGCGTCATGGGGGATCTGACTTGGGGGTTGCTTGCAGCCGGCTGCCAGAGCAGCGCTGGGGGCTGGGTGGGTGGCTGCTGGCGTGTGCAGTGCCAGGCACGGGGCGTGGGGACACGGTGGGGACACATGGGGACAAGGCCTCACTTTCTGTGCCACCCGCTTCAGCTCCTGGCGGATATCGGGGAAGAGGAAGCCGTAGAAACCCTCTTCGTCGGCCCCTCTCTGCATCAGCCCGCTGGCGTGGTACTGCAAGGGGGTTTTGAAAAGAGGGTGAGTGCCAGGGGCTGCCGGCGGTGCGGGGCTGGGGACCGGAGGGTGTCGGGGACTCACCAGGCAGTTCTCGTGGACGCAGAGCCCACCCTTTTGGCACAGCTGGCCAACCTATGTCGGCATCACAATTGTCCTGCCGGCACAGCCCGCACACTGCCGGGGGACAGAGGCACCGTCACCCCCAGCAGCACGCCGCGGAGCCGGTGGGGGTAATGCTGGGAGCGGGGATGGGGGAGAGGCCGGAGCACCCTGGGACGCTGCGGGGGCCTGTGGCAGCACAGCCGGGCACCGGCCAAAATCCCCTCTGGCCGGTGCCCGGGGGGAAGCTCTGCACTCACCTCTCTCCTTGGAGACGGGACATCTCCTTTTGTGCTTGGGAGGAGCGCAGGAGGGTCTTGCCTGCTCCTCTGGCAGCGCTGGGGGACACCGCTCTGTTGGGCACTCTGACACCCTGCGGCGCCGCGACCTCAGCTCCATGGCCGCAAGTGGCTGCCACGAAGCAGCTGGCTGGGCCTGGGGACCTCGCTCTGGTCGGAGACCGTCCTTGTCCTCCAGTGCCCGTGGCAAACACACCACGGAGCCGGGGGCAGTGGCGTGGGGGCATTTATACAGGCCAGGGTGTTTGTGACATGGCACTGCGTGCGTGCCCGGTCACAAACACGGTCCATCCAGCACGTGCGCAGCCGGGTCACAGATAGTTGCCGTGGATGCTGCTGCTCCGGCCTCCCCGTGCTCACTGGAAACATGCCCCAAAGCATTTGTGTTTTCAATTTCTTCTTGTCTTTAAGGAAAGGGTTGACTCAAGTGACAGGCCTGGTATGGTCCAATTTCCCTAAGGCGATTGCCATCCCCAATGCTGCTGCGGTGGGTGGGTGGGCTTTAGGGACTGCGGGAGGGTTTTCCCCGTGAGACAGGGTGATTCCTGGGGACCTGGAGCTCCCCAGTGCGAGCAGGCTCACCCCCATGGGTGCTCATCTGCAGGGTCTGGCCGGGCCTGGACAGCGCTAAACCTCCAAGCATCTCTCCTCCTGCAGCCGCCCCTCTTTAGCCCCTTGATCCATCTGGGGAAAAAACCATAGCACCCCCCCCATACCCTCCCCAAACCCTCCAAACCCAACCCTTTCTCCTGTTGCCAGCCTGCGCCTGCCTTTCTGCCTGCCTCAATCCGTATCCCAGTGGGCGGGCAGCTGCTCAGGGCATCCTTAAACCCCACAACCAGGACGGGGCTGCTTCTTCATGGGGGGGAGCTGAGCTGGGGGCATCAGCCTCGGCCCTTCGGGTTTCCCTGCCGTCTCAGGAGCTCCTGGTTATTCCTGGGCCCCTGTGGGGACACCAAGCCCTGACTGTGACCCTGCTTTTCTCCCACGGGATTTACTTCCTCTCACTCCAGCTGCAGGTCAGAACAGGATATTTTATTAAACCCATCGAGGGTTCTGTGGTAGTGTGGAGAGGGTGACAACAGGGGAGGGGATGGAGCCAGCTCCATCACATAACAAGATGAGACTGTACATGTAATTATGGGACGCAAATAAGCAGAGCTTATGGTGAAGGCGGCTTCATGTGGAGGTGCTGGTTGACTCCTGCTGCTGCCGGTACTGCTGGAACCATTCCTTCTGCGGGTCCACGCAGAACTTCTTCCCCTTCAGCATCTCCACGCTGGCGGAAAGAGGGGCTATGTTAGCTGGGGGGATGTGGGATGCGGCCGTGCCCCGAGGTTCAGGGGATGCCTGCAGCATCCTTCCCCCCACATCCCCCCAAAGTGCTGACTTTTAGCAATCTCTGACACCTTTGCTTCCTTCCCACCTTTCTGTCTCTCAGCTGAAACAGGGGATTTTTTGAAGCTATTTGGAGTAAAGCAGTGAGGAGGGAGGTGCACGTGAAGAGCCAGCGCAGGGCACCCACCACGCACGGCACCCTTTGGGGGTGGCTTGTTTGGGGGAAATCCCCCGAGGCAGAACAACCCGTAGGGAAGGTGGGCGAGCAAGGGTGAGGAGCGGGGTGCAGGGGAGGAAGGCTGGGCGGGGGCCGGGCGTACTCACCGCACAGCCTTGTGGGAGCAGTGGGAAGGCGTCTCCTGGAAGCTCTTGATGAGGAAGGCTGGGATTTTCTTCTGGATAAACATCTCCTTGTAGCAGCATGTGCCGTAGTGGCTGCGGACTGAGAGGAGGCAAGAGGGGTTGGTGCTCTCCCACGCCTGGCGTGAGGAGTATGGGCGCTGCCCTGAGGGGAGTGGTGCGTCCCTTGGGGACTTTCCTGCTCCCTTCTGCTACCAGGGGTCCCCTCTCATGTCCCCGGTCGTGCTGCTTTGCCGCAGGGGAGGAGCCCCCCGTTTTCCTGCCCATGTGGAGTTATCACTGAGCTCTCCAGCTAGAGTGATGGAGCTGAAGCCATCCCCAAGCCTATTTCTGCTCATTTTGAGCAAGACCAGGACAGCCCCGTGCTCAGGCGGCTGGTGGTGCTCCTCAACCCCTCAAACCCACAGCAGAAGCAGGAATTGATGCTTTCATCCCCTTCCTCAACGCCCCCAAAACCCTGTCAGTACAGGAGCTGAGGACAGTGCTGGGGTAGCTCTTAGCCTCAGCTTTGGGACTTACAGGACATTCCCTGGCTTCTAGTCCAGAGAGCCGCCAGCAGCAGGGTGAGCAGTGTCAGGGAGAACACCTTCATGTCCAAGCGGGGCTCCGTCGGTGCCAGCAGCTGGCAGGTCTTCTTGACTGAAGGCCACCAAGAGCTACCTGCATCTCTTGGCTGCACCTCAGCATGATATATCCTCCAGCCAGGCGTTCCATGACTGCCCTGGACTCTCCCCAGGAAGAAACTGCCCACAGATATTGATAAAGGGCAACCAGTGAATGGAAATTCCTTCTCTGAGCCACTCTGGCTCCGGCAGTGGTCGAGGGCTGCTGGAAAGTGTGGTGAGCAGCCAGCAGCTCTGCGCTGCTAGTGATGCACCGGGGCAGGCAGTCTATTTTAGGTTTAGTTGCTGTCACCAGCAAACCACACAGGATGATGCTTGCCAAAGCCCTGGGTGAGTTTATTTTAAAAAAAACCCCACTTGTCATCAGTTTGACTGTGATGCCTCTCGCAATTTTTCACCAGGATGAGTGGCTCGGTGGTGGCCGGGCTTGCCTCAGCCCACCCTGAGACCCATCAGTGGCTGAGCCTGTCACCGTGCCTGTCACAGTGCCAGTGCCCATCACATCTCTTTGAGGCACCCCAGGAGCACGGGCTGGCTGTGAGGTTTGACCAGGCAGACCCAAGTGGCAGCTCTGATCAAGTTTGGGCCAGGGGTCTCCACTCATTAGGATGGCCGACAAGTAGAGCATGGGAAGCCCGCTCCTCATGAGCTGTGCCTGCCTCTTGCCCCTCTCATTGGTGGCTTCCCCAAAGCCCACACGGATACGGTTTGCCCCATGCACCCCTTGGACCCCCTCACAGAGACATGGTTGGGGCTTCGGCTCTTCCCAGCTCCTTACTGACCCCAGCACTTTCAGATTTGGTTTAACACCTGGGTAGAAAAGACGACAACATGATCTGCCCGCTCCCAAGACACTTGCACAGCCAGATGCTTGCATGCATGAAATCACGTTTAATTCTATTCAGTGTGTTGTACAAAAAATAACCGTAGGAGTGCTACCCCTTAATCCCTCTGCTACTGCCAGGCTGGCAAGCGCAGCCAGTGAAGGGTACAGGCAGCTGCCTGCATGCAAAGCAGGGCTGAGAGGATGGGGGGCAGCAGCAGGTCTGGACCCCAGCACCCTGTGGGGTTGGCACACCCCATCCTGGTGGGATGCCAAGGATGACAAAGGCCCTTTGCCTTTGGGGAAGTGGTGAGGGTCATCACAGGATGATGGGGAGGATATCCCCGACAAGCTGCTATATCCAAATGTGGTGTCCCTGCTGCCGCCTCTGCAAAGGGATGACCTTTGCGGTATGTCCCCCCACCCGTGGAGGTGACTCCCCGTGCTGCCTCCGTCCACCCCTCTAGCTGGGGATGGAGAAGGAGTTGACTTGGAAGCTCTGCTGGTACCTCTTCACCCAGGCCCTGGTTGCCTGGGCACAGATCTCCCTCCCGCTCCTCACCCTGAAGCTGGGGCAGAGAAAAGACAGGGTTAGCAGTGTGGTGGTATGGGAGATTCCAAGGGGCTTGGAGACACAGAGGATCAGGATTGGACCCATCAAAGCAAGACACAGGGGTCTGGCAGGGTGTAGAGGGGCTTTACCCCAGGGTTGGGTTTAGGGTACTCACATCACAGCCTGGTGCGGGCACTCGGGGCTGGTGGAGTAGCAGGCGACGACGTTGTCTCTCTTGATCCTTCTCGACTGGAAGTTGAAGCAGCACTTGTCTGGCATGGCCAGGGCTCCTGGGGGGACAGGGAAAGCTCAGTTTAGCCTGGAGACTCCCACCTCCCATCTTAGCCCTCCTGCTGTGGGCATGGCATCCCTTTTGGGGGGAGCTCCCCTGCACTCCATGCATGAGGAAAACCCATCCCCAGGGGGGATGTCCCCCCCAGGGGATGTCCCTGACCCCCAGTCCGTGGGGACAGAGTGGGCAGCAGTGCTTACTCTGTGCCAGGCTCTGGCAGCACAGCGCAGCGAGGAGAAGGAGGGCGCAGACCACCCCAGCTGCCTTTGCCATGCCGGACTGCGGGAGGGCTGCTCCGTGGTGTCAGGGCAGAGCTGCTGTCTGTCGGGGTCGGGGCTGCTGGGCTGCTTTTATGGGGGGAGCAGCGGGGCTGGCTTCCCCCAGGGCCAGTGATTACGTGGGCAGGGGGGTGGACCTGATCCCCTGCCATGTCCCAAAGCACAGAGGTTGAGCAATACTTATCCCCTTCCAGCACAGCCCCATGAAAAGAAAAGCCTGCTCCTGGGTCGTGCATTCAGCCCCCAATGGGCTTGGGAAATTTCCTGAGCTCCTGCCTCCTGCGTTAGGACTGGCGGCTGGGTTGCTTCCAAAGTTTGTCTCTGCATCTCTGTTCCCTGGGCAGACTGCATGCCCTGTGGCAGGAGTCCCAGGGCAGGCAGGACCATCTGGGGATCTCCCTTGGATGGGAGTAGGACCAGGCTCAACACCCTGCAGGGTCCCCAGGAGCCACACAGACTCCCGACAGTCCATGTCATCCTCCTGCACTGCGAAGTTTTGCATCCTATTGCTTTACATTCCAGCCCCCACCAAGAAAACATAGAGAAACAGCTTCTGTTTTTTTGTACCAGGCACGTACAAGACTCTGTGTTGGTTTGGGGATGTTTGGGGCCCATTGGGGCTGGGAGAGGCTGGGCAGGTGGCTCCGCTTCCCTCCCCCGGAGCCAAAGCAGCAGCTCATGTTCTTGGCTGTGCTGAGCTGGGAAAAGGCTGAGGCCAGTCTGGGGCTTCCCGAGTGGATTTTGCCTGGCCACAGCTGTCCAAAGAGCCCCCTCTCCTCCCAGCTCCAGTGCATCCCAGCTGCTGGCAGCTGGCGGATGGTGGGAAGCAGCGGAGAGATGCAGTCACGTATCCCCACCAGTCCAGCTGTGCCCACGGCAGGGCTGGGAACGCTGATGGCACCCCACTGGTGTTTTGGCCACCTGGGGCTGCAGTACAGCCCCATTATGGAAACTCGGCTGGGGAGGGCATGGGGTGCTAGTCCAGGCAGGGACCTGCCGCAATGGGAATGGGGGCCACCTCCATGGTGGGACCGCATGTGTCCCTCCATTTGCTCTTCTGCAAAGCCATTTCCCAGAAATCAGCCTCAACTGTTAGATGTGCATGTGCTGGGTAACAGCAGGGTGCCGCAAGCGGGGCTGGGCGATGTCCCAGGACTTGTGAGTGCGGACAAAGAGTGGGGGGTCATGTTTCCATGCCCAGCTGGTGGATCAGAGAGCCTCCCCATCACTCCAACTCCCATTTAATCTCTCCCTGGGGAGACCCTGAGAAGTGGAGGAAAGTGGATGCCTCTGGTCCTGGTCCAGTGCAGCTGCCTGGCTCGCCTTTCCCTTCCTGGATCCATCCTTTCCTTCTTATCCCCCTTCTTACCCCCACACACCGAGTTTTTCCTGGCTCAGCTGGGGTAAATGTGGTCTCCTAAGGGTAGAAAATATTCCCTGCAATAAGAAAATGAGAGAGAAACACAAAGAAAACAAAAGTGTTTATTGGACTGGAAAAGGCCCCTTTTAAAGACTCTTATGCAAAACTCTGGGATACATCAGGTCGGGGAATTCCATGGATGACATTCCCAGCACCTGCAGCATCCCTCTGTCCCAAGCCCCGGCGCTGATGTATGCCCCGTGGCATGAGTGGACCCTGCAGATGGGGGATTTTGGAGCACAGGGGATTTTCGGCCCTGGTTAAGCCCCTTGATTTGGCAGCCCCTGAGCAGACTGGGGTCCCCAGGACTCACCTGTATCCCAGGAGGAATATCCCCCTTCCCTCTCCCCACATTGTCCAGGATGGGGCTTTACTGGTTTTGCACAGACCTGGCACTGGAGCTGAGAATGTCCATGGGGGCTCAGAGGAGCCAGAGGAAAAACCTTGTGCTCCTGTGTCTCTTCACAAATCCAGGTGAAACTGGTCTTCATCCCTCTCCAACTCATTAGCCCTCCCGTGTTTGATGCAAAGAAGGGCACAGGACATGGGCAGACCCACTGTTGTTGTTGAGCAGATCCAGTCTCTGCTCTGGGGTGGCCCCATGGGTCCCCTGTTCCCGCATGTGATCTGGGCTGAAAAACACCCTTTTCCTCCCTTTCTTTCCCCATTTCATGGGGGGCTCCTTGCCAGCTTTCACAGCTCTGGCTTCAGGCTTGGCTGCAGGGTGTGGTGAGGAGCAGAGCCGCTGGTGATGGGCCACCAGCCTCCATGTCTGCCTGCCCCCTCTCCCAGGGCTGTGGCATGAGGTCCTGGGGCTCTGCCGGCCCTGACTTTTATCATCCTCCCTCACCAGGAAATCCCACGGCTGGGGAAATCCTGCCAGGAAGTATGGAGGATACAGATCAGAGATCTCAGAAAATCCTGCTTCATCCCCACATCCCTCCTGCTGCCCCTGGTGTGGTGGGATTATCGAGGGGAGAAGGGCTGAGCCCTGTGGTGGGGAGTGGGAGGCCTTGGTGCCTGCAAAACATATGGGACAGATCCTGCTCCTGCTGCCAAGAAACACAGGGGAACGTGACAAATCTGGGGGCTGGCAGAGGCATTTGTGATCCTGCTGGGGGCTGAGCTCTTGGTGCTCCCTCCAAAAAATTTGCAGGGGCTCCAAATCTCCCACTGCTGAGGGACAGAAGGGTGTCCCAATCCCACCAGCCCCATGCAGGTGTTGCTCCCCAGGGCTACTCCGCATCCCTGAACAGAAAGCACAAGCAGCTCCTGGGGAAACCACCACCTCTTCTGGGAGTGTATCAGTGCTTAATCACCTTCTGTGCTGAGAACCAGCCCCGGCCTTCGTCACGCAGCTCGCTGCATTGCTGGGCTGCCAGAGACCTGCGGGGCACACCAGGACACCCGCTCGGCAGCACAGCCACCCTGGAAATGCTGCTTGCCCCTGGGTGAGAGGTGCTTTTCCAGCCATGTTTGCAGATGCTTTATTGATGCTGCGGCACTTCTCATTTCAGCTGATTGATAACCCTGGGGGAGGAAGATCTAAGTGCAGTGCCAGCGGGACAGGGCCGCTGCTGCAGCTGGGGCAGCCAAAGTGATGAACATGATCAAAGCAGCTTTGCCAGGTCAGGTCTGGTTTTTAGAAAGGATTTGTTTGAGTTATTCTTCTCCCTTTTAACTCTCTATCTCAGTTGGATCAGCTTTTCCATTACCTTGCTGAGGCTGATGATGAGATAACCACTAAATGCACAACCCGTATGTGCTGTTTCTTTTTTTAAGGTCCTTGCCTGGCCCTGGCCACCTGGGACTTCCCCAGATGCTTGCAGAGATGGTTTATATTGAAATGGGTCCACCCTCGCCTGTCCCCAGGAAGAAGTGGCTCATACCCTCCACCCCTCGCCACCCCTCTGCCCCTGTGGATCCCGGCTGGCTCCTATCCAGATGCCATCACCTTCCCCAAAAAGCAGCAGAGGTTTTTTTTTTTTTTTCTTCAAGGCTGGAAAACCCAACAGGGATCTGCATCTCGCCCCCAAAGCTGCTCACCTGGGTGGGAGCAGGTTGTGCAGCCTCTGAGGCATCTCCTGGTACCTGGCTGCCCTGAAGCTGCAGGCATGGGGCCCATCTCCTGCTGTCAGAAGATGCATACGTATAGAGATAAGATGGAACAGATGCTGCCATCCTTGTCCAGGGGAGATTTCACCAGGAAAGTCACGGCCAAGCCCTGATTTCAGACATGTTAATCACATGGGAGCAATGGTGCTGGAAAAAGGCAGGCTCAGACCAACCTGGCTTGCCCTTACCTGCCCAACCTGAGCACAGGCTGGCAGCGATTCTCCCCAGCTGTGGGAACCAGGAACCCAGCTAAAAAAAATAGCATTGTGTGTCTTTGATATAGATCTCTGGGGTTTTGGACCCCTCAATTTTGGAGTCCATGCCCTGTTCCTGGCTGGTGGCTGTGCCAGGGCAGACCCCATTTCATGGCTGCTGGTGCAGGGCAGTGTGATGTCCTGCCAGCCCCATAACAGGGAAAACAGCCCCAAAGGGAAAGATTTTCAACCCAAATCAGTGGGTGGGGGGCTCAAGGTGGCCATGGCAGAGCTGATCCCAAAGGCAAAAAGCTTTCCTTCGGGTTGATGGTCCTTCTCTGCATCCCTTGGGGAAGGGGCTGTGTGGTACCCATGTTGTGCCATTCAGGCAGCTCGTCCCCGGGCATTTCATCCTCTCTCAGCTGACCTGGGATGAACTCTTCCCCTTCCCCAACATCCCCCACCATGTGCTGCCTGACTCATTTCCTGTATCCTTTGGCCCCCGGCATCCTGGCTGCCTCTGCACAGGGACTGGCTCTGGCTGAAAAGCTAATTTCACACCAAACTCCTCTGCTTGAGATTACGATCAGGTCTGGGGTGCTCGAGTTGAGTGATCTCCACCCCCCCCCCCCCACCCCCCCCCCCCCGCCCCTTGGCTCCCCAGCCTTGGCCTTTGAAAACCCAGAGTTTAAAACTAAAATAAACCCAAAGCGCTATCTGCCTCCTTATCTGCACCCTGATTTCTGCAGGTTGCACGTCTCATGATTTCCCAGCAACCCAAAAGGCAAGAAGCAGCATTTAATGTTGGAAAAAGAAAAAGAAACCCCAAAAGAGCAAGTAAGATTCTCATGAAATCCTCTGCACTTAGGAGCTGGGGTCAAAAATAATAAAAAAATTCATACTAGAGACTTGCTGGGCTCTCTGGATTTTCTCCAGACACAAGACGTTGGCAGTGCTGGCAGGATGAGGGGAGGTAACAATGGGCAATGGGGATCAGCATCACCAGGACGTGGGGGGACTCTGCTGCACCACCCCGAATCTGCCTCACAACCCAGCCCCAGGTTCCTGTGGTGTTTTTCCCCAGGCTGCAGCTATCAGCAGCTACAATCTGCTTTTGCAACGTTAGTGACTGTTAGTTTTCACACATATTTTCTGAAACCACCTGCCCAGGGAGGAAAATACACCCATTAGAAGATGAATTCATTTCCCCCAGGACCACCCTGGGGTGTTTTCCTTGTGCATCCTTCCCCTGGCACCAGTCCAGGCTGGGGGAACAGGGACCAGTGTGTCCATGCAGCA